CATTTGCTTAATTTTCAAGGAAGTTCTTTTTATATATTTTTTTATTAATAGCTCCTTTTTTAGATTGATTTAATTTATATATTTTTCTCTTTTCTTTATATTTTTTATATCTGAATTCATATTTCTATAAGACATATTCAACAATATAAATAAAAATGATGACAACTAACAAACAAAATATATAATTTTATGATAATAAAAAAAAATTAAATTATAAAATAATTTAAGTTATAGAATAATAGAAATTGATTTTAAATAATTCGTCAATGCTCCAATAAATTTTCTAATAGAATAGAAGTGTAATTCAAATTATTCAATAGTATAAAAGTGTAATTCAAAATCTTCCAAATGAGTGGGATGGTAAGATTGTAAATTGTAATGAGTAGTGAGGGGAGCAAAATAGAAGATAAAAAGTTAATTTGAGTATTAGCTAAAGCTATGGAAAATTTTCCCAATTCCTACCACAATGGTTGGATAAATATTAAATACTTATGTAATCATAGATTCATAATGAGTAATATATATATATATACATATATATATATATATAGACACACGCGCGGCTAATGTCATGAGGATAAAAGAGAAAAAAATAAAATAAAAGTAGTAGTAGTAGTTGGTATAAGGATAGAAATATTTTGAAGCGACTATTAAAATTTTTTATTGGTTGAGGTTTAATAATAAAAGAAAATAAAAATTTTAGATAGATTATTATATGTATATATATATAATTTGGATTAAAAAAAGTAGGTAATATAGGATAGAAATTTTTTAGGATGAATTGATTGGGGTTTAATAATTGAAGAAAATAATTTTTTAAAAAAGTCATAATATATAAAGAAATAAAAATTTTTTAGGCCTTCATATTGAAATGACCATTAAGTGACACTTAAGCATCCAGGCAGCCTGGCAAAAACAATAAAGTCTATGAATGAAAAGAGTAAAAGCAACAAAGAGAGAAGGGCCACAACAATAATGAAACAAATATAAAATAATGAAAATGATAGGGCACCAAATGATTTTTTCGAATAAATCTTAAATATAATGTGTTTTTGTATATCTTATTTACTTAAACAATTACTAAAAAATAATTATTTAATATATGATAAGTATAACCAACCACGTCAAATTTAGTGTTAATTTGGGGATTCCTTTTTAATTCCCCTATCATTACTCATAAAATAATATAAGTGTTGTAGAGCTAAAAAAAATAAAAATAAAATAGCTATCACAAAATGTATAATTTCCCCGAATCTTGCTTGTACAATGCTTTCAAACCAAAGAGTAGTTATAGATCATTATTGAACAACAAAAAATAATTAAGGAAAACAATAATGCAAAAAAATAATAAGAAAGAATCGAGTTTGGTACATTTTTTTTGTCAATGATTAAGAATTAAACCCGTAACTGAAACCTCAACTTTACATACATTGTCAGAATATTAACCATATTTCTACGACGACTTTGCCAATGGAACAAACCCAATATAGATGTAACTGAAGCTTAGTCAAAACTACAATATTCTACTGTGACAATAACAATATGGCAGTCAATGAAATGTCTGTGCCGCTGTCTAACATATAAGGAAAGGTACATCGATCACCATTTTTAGGTTTCAACTTTGTCCAAAGTGGAAGTGCTATAGCACCACAGGGACGGATCTAAAATTCACACGAGAGGGACAAATTTATGTAGAGGAGTTTTTTTATAATTTCAGTGAGGGTAATTTCAAAATCTTATGGACATAAATACAAAAAAAATATAAATTTAGAGACGTAAAATACAATAACAAAAAATTTCAGTGGAACAGCTATAATCCGTGCCTGAGCACCCCATAAAACTTGTCGTACAAATTCTCAAAATTCCCAAATGCAAATGAACACATAAGTTTAATTCGATTTCCCCTTGCATCATGGACAAAAGTAGCAGCTTAGGTAAGACTCCAAGAATATTGTTGTACAAGATTCAAGTATACATTTTACAAAATTAGCATCTACAGAGTTGTTTTTATATTTTTATTTTCTTGAAATGTAACAAATCTACAGAGTTGTCCTACTTCAAGAAGAAATGAGTATCAAGGTAACGAGTAGAATAAAATTTTATATTTTCATTCACTTATCAAAACAAAATAAATATTTTGTTCTGAACCTTCACATATGAATTCCCTTTAAACAGCAAATTGAATTACGATTTACAATTTAAGGCTTAAAAATAAAATAAACTAATAACTCTTATAGAAAGTTTTAATTCTTTCTAAATAAATATCAAATATACCTATTCATAGATCTTGGTAAGAGCCTTGCATGGTGGTTCGTTATTTGACGGGATATTATCTTTCATCTCATCATTATTGGCGTACCGAGGAAGGCCTTCATAATCTGCAACAAGATTATCAGAAGGATATATATATATATATATATATATATATATGCGTGTGTGCACGCCAATGATAGAATTTTGCAAAGAGAATCATCATGCAAGAGACCATAGGAAAAGTCACAATGCAGCAATTTCACATCTTTAGTTTCTGCATTGCTTAAATATGCCCACACTTTCTTTACCCTAAGTATATTAGGATTCTAATCCATATTGAAGAAACCATATTTTCTACATGATACTTAACATTAATTCCATGCCAAAACTGTTCACCATTGTACCCCAATTATAGAATTTGGATGAATTCAAGAACAAAAATAATAAGAGAACAGAGACAATACATACAAACCCCTCCTAGCATATTCATATCAAAGCCACCATGGAAGCATATATATAGATGAATTAAAACTTACACGCAATTGAAGCATCCTTCCTTGGCCCGTCAGGGAATTTGGATAAAACATCGTATAACGATCCACAGTATTTATCAGCATTGGTACCAGAATAGCTTACACACTACTTGCATCGCAACAAAGACCATGCAACAGTCAGTTGTAAACCGTTAATTGCCGCACAAATACTTTTATAATGGATATTTACAAAGAAAACCTTATTCATAATATATATATATATATATATATATATACTTCTTCCGTTCCATAAACAAGTGTCCACTTTTTTATTTTTATTATCCCATTTGAAAAGTCAATGTATTATTTTATGTGATATTATCAATCTAACCATCTTGCATTAAACCTATAAAAAGATAGGCTCACCGGGAGTAAAGTTGATATATATATATATATCCTCAAACATTGTTTTTGCCGGGACAAACTCCAAACTAAAGATAAGCGTAGCCTAAATTATCTCGTGCAAGGTTAACACTCCACATCTAGGGTATGTATTATGCCTCCACCTACACTTGGACATTCAACCTCCCCCACATTTGGAGAGAGAAACTTACGACATCTGGGCTTTGATAAGTATTTTGGTGGTTGGGTCATGGTCTTGGTTAACTCTCGTGTTGATGATCATGCCCTGTTGTTAGGCTCTGGTTTGGGACTCAATCGTGTAATAAGCCTCTCGGGCTTTGGTAAGTCTTTTGGGCCCGGGTCATGGCTTAGTACATGACTTGGTGGGCTGTTGCAATTGTAACCTTGTTTTCCTCTTAAAATACAAATGTCTGAATTGTTAGAATCAGTAATTATATACTAACATTATTTGCATTTTCACTGGACATGGTCAATGGAAAAGAAGTGACTTACAAACTTTATTTATTTATTTTTTTTTTTTGTGGAATGATAATTTTGAACTATATGTACTGCAAACTATGAATAATAGCATATACAATATTTATGTCATATAACATTACCATTTACAAGTGAAATTTATAAAAAAAAAAAAATTAATATTAGTATGAAATTTTCAGATTTTGTAAAAAAAAATTATCATTCTAATTCTACGATAGTAGCAGCAGCCCACACAAGATTGTCAACTACAATAATAAAAAATAAAAAATAAAAATTAGGTGAATGAGAGAGAGAATGTTAATTGCAAATTAATATATTCTAATTCTATGCAAGCTTATACACTAATAATTATAAGCACAAGGTAAAACTTCCACAATATATATATATATATATATATATATATATATAACTAATACACACTATTTATCTATTTTAATATTGAAAAATTATAACCATATTTTCTAGATCTTCCCGAGTTGGTTTGGTGCACACAAATCAACTCCGAAATAAAGCACAAAAAGGAAAATTGGATAAATTGTGGGATGCTAAAAAAAAAATAAGAACTATAAAGGTGCGTTGTATAAGGTTTTATATATACATGTTTATACAAGGTTAATAGATATATATATATATATACACACACTGACACACAACAAACACACACGTAGATATTCGTGTGTCTATATATATATATATATATATATATATAAGGAGAAAGAGGATTGCGCTGAATAGTTTACCAGCCATGGATCCTTCCTGCAAGAGAGAATTCCAAATTAATAATTATCCGAATCAAAGCAAAATAAAAGAAAAAACATACTATACAAATTAATCAACTCTATCGCATCAAAATAACATATATAAATGATCAAATATGAAGTACGTTGGCAAAGATTCAATTAACAAGTTACTTACGTCTAGCTCTAGTGCAGTGAACCACGATTTCAGATGGAGGCCGTGAGCACAATCAAAACCAGAAACTTTGGCAGTATTGTATTTTTAAGTTTTTTCTACTCTACTTAACTTGTACAGAAAGACAGAAATAGAAACTTACCGAATAAATAAATAAATAATAGTGAAATTTTAACTTTTTGGCAACTTTTTCCAAAATAGAAATATAATTAACTATTTAGTTCTATTATATATATGTATATATTATAAGTGAGTGATAGTAAGGAGGGCTTTTTTTACAATTTGCCCAAATTTAAATAAAGATCAAACTTTTAAAATCTAAAATAATAAATAAATAAATAATTGTGAAAATAGAGGTAATGCTTTGACACTGTTCCCATTGGCATTACAAAGGAAATTAGGTAAAGAACACGACGTCGTATAAGTCTAAAAGCGTTATCTTTAACATGCGCAGGTCATTACAAAACGCGAATCGTCATACTCTGGCGATTTAGTTTGTCTCAATCTCAAGTGACAGTTGAAGACGAGACTCAGATACACCCAAGTTTTCCCGAGAAACCAATAAATATTATCACGGATAATTTTCATCCTTCCATTCAATTTCTCATCCAATTGATCCAACCTACTTCACCCATGATTCGGTTCTGCCTGATTTCACTTGTTTTCTTGCTTTCGATCTCGTCGCTCCTCTATGAATCTTCGAGCTCTTCTATCATCAATCCCTCTAAAGTCAAGCAAATTTCATGGAAACCTAGGTATTCTTCTCTAATCCTTCATTAACTACACCTTTTTGTTTACTTTCCGTTTGGCTGCTGAGAAAATACAGGAATTTGAAAGCTTGAATATTATGCTTTATGTAATTTCACCGGCTCAGCGAAATTTGGTAATTTGCAGAGCTTTCGTTTACCAAGGGTTTCTTACAGAAGAAGAATGCGATCATTTGATATCTATTGTGAGTGTAATTTGAATTGTTTTTGTTTTCAATTTGATGATCTAGGAAAAATTGATTAATGTAGGTTGATTTGATTGATTAGTAAGATCTGGTTATTGTGATTTGATATTGTTTGGAATTTGGGAATGTAATAGGCAAAATCGGAGCTGAAGAGATCCTATGTTGCAGATAATGAGTCTGGAAAGAGCAAGCTCAGCGAGGTTCGAACAAGCTCCGGGATGTTTATCAAAAAGGCAAAGGTTTGGTCTCTATGTACTTCGATCTAATTGTTGGTTTTTATATGCACAATGTGTGCGTGTGTACGTATATGTTATATATACTGCTCGTTGCATCTTATGATTGCCTGTTGTGGCTTCCTTTACATGTTTGACTGAAGTTCTTCCTCATTGTCGAATCCTTAATACAGTGATGAGTTGCAGCTTTACATCTGTGATGTTGAAAAGTTTCTAACAAGTAACAATTAATGAGCACCCTGTTGAAAGAAAAGCACTTATTGTGAAAAGACTAAAAATTTACATTCCAACATTTCCCATATAGTTTTTGGTACTTAAATTGGACAAACTTAGAAAGTCAAAACATAGTGTGTGTTGGGTAATATGGCAAGATGCCTAGCTGAGCCCATGCATGTAGCTTGAAACTTAATTTTTAAAAATAAATGGTTCAAAGTAAAAAAACTACGTCACCCAACTCTAACACCTAACTAAGAGAATAAAAAGGTAGTCATCTTAATCATAACTAGAAGTAATAGTAATGGATGTTACCTGCTTTTACGGCAATTTTGCTGGTTTCTGATAAATCTGAGTTTGTTTGAATTGCCAATTTCACTTCATTTTTCTGTATAAAGAAACCACTTTGGTTATTAGCCAAATTCCTCAGTTTTTACTGAAACATCCATCTGAATTTTTTCAAATGAAATAAGATATTTATTGGTCAATATTCCATTTTCTTCCTGATAGTTTTGACTTTCATACAGATTCCCAAGTATGCATTTGACTAAATTTTCTACCTGAAGTGAATTGTGCCTGAAAAACCATGTATAAGTGTGTAACTTCGTTTTCATCATGACTCATATGGTCGATTTCCATAGTTTGACACCAGTTAGTCCCTGACCAATTTTAGTTGCATACATCAGCTGGAATGTATATATTCACTTTTGCTTTACTCATTTTAAGTAAATAGGAAGTCTCCATACATTTACAGAATCCTCCTCCTTTTCTTTCTCTGTTAAGCTATTGCTATTACTCTGCGACTCTTTATCTATAACGGATGCATCTACTGAAAAGTTTTGCTTCATTTATTGCAATTGAAAATTGAAATTCCTTTCTTGCTAGATTTTAAAATTTCAACATTATACAGTGCTGCTTTCAATTGTGATTTTACTTATTCTAAATCATTTGGACCTGAGCAATCATACTATGTTGAGAAGTTGCAGTTGAAATGACTGTCAATAATGATGGATAGAAGAATTTAGTTTGATTCACTTTATTCTTACCTAGTTTTTAGGAAGATGGCATCGGGTGACCTTTCGAAAAAAAGAAGAAAAAAGATGGCATTGGGTGCATACTGGACAACTACTTGTTTCAATTTTCATTACACAGTTTTCCTGACTCTCTCTCTATCTCTCATTATTTTTTAATTTAGGATCCTATTGTTGCTGGTATAGAGGACAAAATTGCACATTGGACATTCCTACCTAAAGGTATGCCACATGTTGAAGAATATTGAAAACAAAATCATTTTACCAAATTTTTCCTTCTATTCATTTATTCTTCCATTGTAGACAATTGTGATTCCTTCACTTATGAAATAACTTGTTATTTAATTAGAGTTAGAGCCTGCTTCTATGCAAGAGTAGTTTGTTTCTAACAGATACAGGTTGCCTGGTGTGGTCCACATTGAGTGAAATGCTCGGTGGAGGAGAAGACTTAAACTAGCATGGATTGAGATAGTAAAGAAATGTTTTTTTTTTTTTTTTAGTTGGTACTCACACACACATGCCTCCACTGAGGCTCGAACCCCTAACATCCCTTTGGGAAGTAGGGGCCTGATACTGCTAGGCCACTGGCCTGTTAGTAAAGAAATATTTAATAGCTTATGATTCCAACTGATCTCATAGCCGTAGATAGATAGGAATGGTGGAATAGGATTCATCTAGTGGAACTTAAAAAATTGAAAAAAATACTTTGTTGAGTTGAGTTGAGATGTACGAAGACAGGGTTGCCTGAAGAGTTCTTTTCAGTTATAATATTTTCTTGAATTGACAATGATTTATACTTTATTGTTGGTAAAATGCAAAAGAAATCTAAGTAAATTCGAATAATTTTAGGCAAATTGAATAAAAGGTTCTGTTCTAAAGTGTTTATCAAGATGAATATATCTAATTTTAGTGAAAAATACTTACTTTAGCTACATCAGCCACTTTAAAAGATCTTGGTTCTATCTAACTTTAGAGATGCTTCAAGATCCCAAATTCTCAACTACTCAAATTGCTCGATACTCACTCATCTTGGCCAACCGGTCTAAAGAATAATATTTTTGGATTACAGATTCTTGTTTATATAATTCTGTAGTATTATTATTTTGTATTGTTCAATGAAAAATTCTTGAAGCCAATTTTATAACTAAATACTAGTATATATAAACAAATTTTGATGACCATCATCACCGTGGAGAGCTTCATGTCCATTTCACATACTTTTGGAATGCATCCATAGTTTTTTATAATTAGTGTGACTGTAACAGACTGAAAACAAAAAATATTATGATAAGTTGTGTTTCGTCCTGTTAGTTTTCGCATGTTTGTCGTCAGACACTCATCTTTGTGGAAGGTAATACCTATATCTATGCCTTGTTCTTGGAGATCCTTGGATGTACAAATGTGTTTCATGCCTTGTGTATGTAACATATAGATGTTTAGTATAAATGAGAATAGAATGTGACCAACACCAAAATATGCCCTAGTATACTTTCTTTTCTTTTCTTTTTTCATGTGCAAGAAACATATTCACACAGCCACATATCCCTATGGGGACTTGAACCCTCGACCTTGTCTTTTGAGAGGTGAGAAAGTACCACTAGGCTACAACGCCTTTGGCCCCTATTATACTTTTTTGCATCCTGCAAAGTTATAATGCTGTTATTGTAAAAATGATGGTATGGCAACTTAGAATAGATTGAAGTAAGAGTTTCATTTCCTGTGGATGTATACTCGGAATTGGAAGGCGAGGTTTAATATATTTATAGTTTTAGCTGTAAAATTCTAGAAATGAATAGAAACTTTAATTTAAATCTGCTGACTGATTAGGGAGATTTTCACCTCGATTTGCTTCTCTTACCATTGCTGATTAAATTTTCTGTAAATAACAGAATTGATGATCTGACACAAAAGGGGAACTGTGCACTGAATTAGTTGATGAATTATTTGTCATTGGCTCGTGTATTTTATTTGACTGGCAATGCAAGAAATATAATGTGTCGAATACATTTTTTGTTTTTTATTTTTTTGGGTACTACCATGGTTCTGTATCTCTTTCTGTTATGCCCTTTCTTGACTCTTTCCAATCTTACAAATATCTTCAAGATTGAAAGCAGCCTTGGGTTTTAGCACTAAGGTCACACGTAGTGTTCAAAGCTTTAAATGTTTGTCAACTAGTTTTGTTGTGTTTCTTATTTTAGAAAATGGGGAAGATATGCAAGTACTGAGATATGAGCATGGGCAAAAATATGAGCCACACTACGATTATTTTGCTGACAAGGTTAATATTGCGCGGGGTGGGCACCGCTATGCGACTGTACTTATGTATCTCAGTGATGTGGGGAAAGGTGGTGAAACAGTGTTCCCCTCAGCAGAGGTTAGTTGCATGTTCTTTTGCACTTCCAATAAAACTTCTCTTCCACAATTCTGTCCTTCAATAGTTTAACCAGCTCTTCTTTGCTAACACAATGTTCTACGTCCTGAAGTTCTGTCCACTTTCCTAAGTTTCCTTGCCCACACACTTGTAGATCTGCGTTGTCCTGTTTTTAAATTCTCTTGCATGAGCAACAACCTTAATATTAGATCCAGTAGAGACATCTTGCTCAATCATTTATTTGAAAAGTTCAGTGATAAGATGGCAGTACACTCGGGAAAACATTTCAAATCCATTGATAAGCTGGGAGAACACTGGGCAAGAAAATTTTCACGGGTCTCAGATAAAGATGCTAAATTTCTGTAGCTATTTATATTACTGTCAGATCTTTTTTGTTTCATTAAAAGAGTTTCTTAAATAAAAACTGTCAGCAGGAGTCTCCTCGTCGTAAATCTTCTACATCAGATGATGATCTATCAGAGTGTGCGAGGAAAGGTGTTGCGGGTAAGTCATTTTAGCCAATCGTAATTTGCTTCTGTTGATTTTGCTGATGCACACTGAATGACTTGACATGCTTTTGGTTATCTTTTGCTCCAACCTTGAAAATTGCTCAGTAAAACCGAAAAAAGGGGATGCTCTTCTTTTCTTCAGTCTCAGTCCAAATGCTATTCCAGACCCCATCAGTCTACATGCAGGATGCCCAGTGATAGAGGGCGAAAAGTGGTCAGCAACAAAGTGGATCCATGTGGATTCGTTTGACAAGATATTAGGAGCCAGTGGGAATTGCACAGATGAGAATCCGAACTGTGACAGATGGGCTGCGCTGGGGGAATGCACCAGGAATGCAGAGTATATGGTTGGAACTCCAGAGCTTCCAGGTTACTGTAGAAGGAGCTGTAGGTTATGTTAGCATGTTAATTTATGCTTTCCACTTTCGTTTATCTGTTGTCTGTTGTATTGTACTGGAGTTCTTTTGAGCTATTATATTATCATTTTAATATGTTTCCAATCATCGTTTACTAAGCCATTTTTTGTAAAAATTATTTTTGTTAATTATTGTTTTCAGTTTTGTCTTCATCTGTTATCGAGATGTTGCAGAGATTTTTTTATATGAATGCCAATACATACTTAGATAGTTATTATTGAAAACCAAAATATGATCTGAATCATCCACTAGAAACTGCATAACCTGGGAAATGAGAAGGATCATAATGTTTCGGCTCTAAAATTTTTCTTTTCTGTTTTCAGGTTAGAATATTTAATGTTTCTTGGTACTTTACATTTCGGAAATGGAAGTCTTCATTGGGTTATTGTTTATTATTATTTCCTGACATTTGTGGGTGTGGGTGAGTGGTAGGATTTTCTGATGCCACTCTTGCTCAAAACATCAGGGGTGATTTTGTATGCTTGTGTGTGTGTGTGTGTGTGTGAGAGAGAGAGAGAGAGAGAGGAGAGAGAGCCTGCATTCACTGGAGAATATTGTGGGCGCTTTTCATTTGTTGATGATTTGGCTACAGAAATACATGAATCATCACAGCATGCTATCTTACAGTGGTGGAGATACAGATTGATAGATTGTCCTATTGTTTAGGACCACAGATGTGCCCATCATATTCAGAAAGAAAGAATAAGTAACACCTTGGTCCATGTTGTATAAGTGATGCTTTTAGTATCTTGCTAAGCCTGCTTGCATGGTAAAATGTTCACTCCCAATAACACCATTATATTTCGTAACAATCTCATGTAGGAATAAGGAGGGCTAATCATTGATCAGAGACAAAAATGGTGATTATGTATGTAAGTGGCTCTCTCTTGAAATATTGGAGTAGCAACTAAAACCACTGCAGAAGTTTTGAGCTATTCTTGAGGGAATGAACATTGTTCAACAACAGGGAATGAATTCCACTTCATTGTGGGATCTAGAGAGGGTCAGATGTATGTAACATTACTTTCGAATGGAGATACCGTTTTCGATTTCGAACTCGTAACCTTCATGTCACAATAGAACAACTTTACTGTTATCTTCATGTCACAGAACAACTTTAGTATTACGTTAAGGTAACTTTCTCCAACCCATGTCTTTTAACTTTCTCCAACCCATGTCTTCATCTACTGAGTAATGGCTATTGAATTTACAATTTAATATGGGGATTTGTTATTCCTTTGTGAAAGTGTCACAATCTGATTAGGGTGATCAGACAATAAAGCAACCAAATCTCGAAGGAGCTGATACGGATCATACTGTGAGTAGTGGCTTTTAAAGAATAGTCAAATTTGATTCCCTTATATCTAACGCAATGTATAAACAAATAGTTTAGCCAGCATTATCTCACATGCTATCCAAAGTTGTGACAACCAATTCACAACTGTTTCGTTTTAATGCCATGCACAGAACACTTTTTAATAATAAACTCTAATGCATATGCTTCAATGACCAAGCACAAAATGGTAATTTACTACTAGTATGCATGTGGGTACGTGAATGTTTCAACCAAATGATTCATATAAAATTATGGTAAAAATTATGCTTTTGTGATTAAGGAGCTGATAAAAATAGGATCAACACAAGCTGAAGACGTCCATTGGGCGATTCCAAACTAGCTCTCTCACAAAAAGGGCATCCTATGATCTATCTGAACCACAAGATAAAAAGAGGATCATTCCTTCAAGCTATGTTTTTCCCGGTTGAATGATGTTGAAGTCAAGCTACGTTGTTCCCAGTTGAAGTCAATTGATTCCATGCATGAATGCAAGTTTTCGAATTTCAGCTGTGAAAGGTCACCAGCTAAGAATTTTAGACTGGGAATCTTTGAATTTTGACAGCATAATCAAATATAATACAAAAGAAAGATTCTATTTATGTTTAGCTTAATGGTACATCGTCTCAATTCGAACATATCTGTAATTGAAGGTTTTGTAAATGGGGCATATCACAAAACTCTCAACTCAGAATTCGGACGTCCTATCAATGCTATATTTTATAATAACGAGTCTCGAATAACAATGGCCAAACAAAATATTTGACATTTTACCTAAAAAGTCCAACTATTGGAAGGGCAAATCTTATGTCCAATTACCCCTTCAAGTAATTTAAGCCTAACCCACAAAAATTAAAAACCATTTATGAGATTCGGCATGCTATGGTAAGATTCCGATTCTCTTATAATTGAAAAAGGAAATTTAAAATGCATAACATGTCATGAAGTGAAAAAAGAACATGAATAACATAACAGTTCTTTATTTCTTTTAAAATTGTTTCTTACAAACTTCAAAGCAAATTATCGTCCACTTAAGAAAAGACAAAGCTATAAGAAAGTGGACTGAACTATTCATTCTTATTTACTGTGTTTGTAATTTGGCATCATTCATTGTCATTTTAATTAATTTTTTAACAAATGGATATGGTGAGAAAATGAGTAATAGTTTATCAATTAGAAATTGAGTAATAGTATTTTATTTGTCTTTTTTTAAGCGTGAACAAGAATTTCAAAACACCTCCAAGTATAAATGTGAATTGTCATTCCAAAAATTTAACTAAACCAATTGAGTGATGTGTAGTTGTACTTGTGTGAAAAGACCAATTTTATTATTTTTTTTAGCCGAAAATAAACTTCTAGTGTGAAAACATCATAATTTTCCATTAAACCGTACTATAATGAAAAGGAAGAACAAGCTTGACTTGGAGTCACCTCTAAGTCAACCTCTTGTGTAATTTCCTTTCGTTTTTGGATATCATGACCCAAAAATATGTACATATAGAAAAAAATATTATTGGAGTGAAATGTAAAAGAGGAATATAAAGCTAGGGTGTAATGCGCGCGCGTGTTAGAGAGAGAGAGAGAGAGAGCAGCAAATGGTAAGGGCAGTGAATCTTGACAAAACACAGCACAAATCCAGAGAAGGGAAATCCAAATAAAGGGTATATACTCCAATTTGTGCTAAGTTTACCCAAAAGCAGGGGAACTTTTGGATTTTGGTCTTCTGCTACACATTAAATTCACCAAACCCCTTTCAAGCATTTATATCCATCCTTGGATTGTGCAATTATTCCACAAGATTGCAATACCAACCAACAAGTTTTATTGGGTGTGACAGCTAATAAACCATAGAGGTTTGGTGTGTGTGTGTAAAACAGAGAGACAGTGAGAGAGAGCAAAGAATGGAGGTGGGTCAGTTGCAGAGACAGTTTGTGGAATACACAGCTTCTTTGTTTCGTGAGGTAAGGAACAAGAAATGTGAACAGGAGTTTGTTTTGTTTGTTGTTTAGCTTGGTCTTTTTTATCTGTTGGGTTGTTTTTGCTTCTTGTGTTTTGTTTTGGGGCGGCTGTGATTTGCATTGATTTTGGTTTTCAAGGGGGTCCTGGATGATCAGTTTACTCAGCTTCAGCAACTGCAAGATGAGAGCAACCCTGATTTTGTGGTGGAAGTGGTCTCTCTCTTCTTTGAAGATTCTGAAAGGCTTCTAAATGATCTCACAACAGCTCTGTGAGTATCTGTGTGTTTGGATACTAGTTTTTCTGGGTATGGTGTAGTTTAGGATGTGTTGGAGAGTAACATAATTTTTCATTGTGTTATTGGTGTTTTGTCATCCCTTTGCACAGAGATCAGCGAAGTGTAGACTTCAAAAAGGTTGATGCTCATGTTCATCAGTTGAAGGGTAGCAGCTCCAGGTATATACACAGAATCTCTCTCTCTCTCTCTCTCTCTCACACACACACAAACACACACGCACACACAGAGAGAGAGAGCATCATTTGCTATATGGTCTTAATGTGTCTGCTCTGCATTTATGATCTGTTTCAAGACTGATACTAATTTCCCATTTAGCTTCTGTTACATTTTTTGAGTGCTCCTGATTCAACCCATTTCCACATTTATATATGGAAAGATCACACCTTCACAAAATTTAAGCTAAAATTCATATCTGGTAATTGGTTAAAAAGAAGATTTTGATAGAATGGACAAAAAAATGGTTGTTCTTACCAACGGGCATTAGCCTAGATGGATAGTCCCTTTTCCCCAAATGGGAGGTTGAGTGTTCTAGTCCTATTAGGGTTAATATTGTGGTTGTGTGTGTGTTTGTTTGAACTTTCGGGAAAAGAAAAAAAATTGGTCTTTCTTTTTGTTAAATTCACTATATTTAATGAAGAAATCTGGGTTTTTGTGGTTCACAGCATAGGTGCACAGAGAGTGAAAAATGCCTGCATTGCCTTTCGCAATTTCTGCGATGAACAGAACAACGAAGCGTGAGTAATTTTACTCTCTTACATCTATAGATTCTATGCTTCTTTCTAATTTTCCAAATCAACCATCTTAAGAATCAATCTGGAAAGTGGAATTGGAAGTCCATGAAGGCCTGAACTAAAATTAGAAAAAGCTTCACATTATGACCGAGATGTTGGGTGTGTGTAGGTGCTTGAGATGTCTGCATCAAGTGAAACAAGAGTACTATCTTGTGAAGAACAAGCTTGAAACTTTATTCAGGGTGAGGACTCTAAGCTTTTGTTGTTGTTTATTTTATTTTATCCGGAAAGCGAAGCAAAATTTTAGTATATATTTTTGTTTACTCTCTTAACTAGTGTATTATTTTTTTGGGTGCAGCTAGAGCAACAGATTGTGGCAGCTGGTGGATCAATTCCTATGATGGAGTGAGAGGTCTGAAGCAAAGCAAGTGAATTTGGGAGCTTTTTGTCAAGAAGCTTTTGTGAGTTTTGTGAACCACTTAATTAATCATGCATAAGGTTCTCTTGGCTACTAACTAGTGCTTGTATGAATTCTGATGAATAGTGCCACTTCTTTTGTAAACCTATAAGCTTCTTGTTGAAATTGGTGAGCCTACATGCTCATATGAATTTGGCTTTTTGACGGCCTAAGTTTTCCCCCACTTCAAACTCAGCTTTATGATTATCTGAAATTTTAGATTCGGTTGCTCTGTGACATAGAATAACTGAACAGAAAAACAATAGCTGATTAGAAAGTACACAGAAGATATCATAATTTTACTGTTGTTGGAAGGTTAAGATTGGAGACGTTCTCACACTTGTGAGTTCGAGCTTCTAAACCAAGCAATATATGTGGTAAATAATATATCAGCCACGGCTTGGATTTGACATAACTTTGTTAATTGCGAAGAATAAATTTTGTAGGTGCAAACGACATGATTCCATGAGTTGGCAGCCGGAGTTTTCAGTTGGCTCATGGCACATATATACTTAAACATGCATACAAACACGAGTGTGTGTTTGTGTGTGAAAGTTGTTGTGATAATGGAAGTAGTGTTCTTTTTTAATCAAGAGCCAGTGCTTATTAAATCTTTTAGCTCGTTGTAGTGACAGAACAAAGGAAAGCAGCCCATGTGGCCAGAATATTAGGTTGGATGTATGAGGAAGTCTTCGAATAAACAATCTTTTGGACAAACACCTATTTATACATTAAGAATGGAGAACAAATACTGATGATAACGAGACTTTAGATATGATTCCATAAGATCAATTATAATACGATGGGGGTGTTTCCTCGTGTGCTGTTGAAGAACCGAAGACATGCTGAAATTATAGCATTTAATTAAAGCACTTAAAAAAATATAGTCATGGGAACTGAATTGATCTTTTTTAAAATAACATCCAGACTTGTTGTTAAGAACTACTAAAATGATAGAATTAATTCAGGAAAAAAAAAGAAAAAAAAGATAAGTATTATCTTGGCAGCAAAATATTTTAGATCAATACCAAAAATTTAGTCATTAAAAAAATTTACTTGCTAGGGAATATATATATATATCAAACACCACAGAAGGATCGGATATAAGGAGTGCTGGAAGGGGTTGGAGCCACTATACTAAATTCCAAGATTTAACTTCTTTAGTTTTGTAACTCTAACATAGATTGGTTATATAAAAATAATCATATTAAACCATTTTATAAATCAAAGAAATATGTGGTAACTTCAATGGACATTCCATTTAATTGAAACCAGGAAAAATTTTGTTTGGGTGAAGGATTTCTGAATGTGGATTGTATATTAACTTTGGGGACTAACTACCAAAAACATAACCTAGATATGATGGTCCCAGAGTAAGATTAATATTATTTTAAGTAAAAAATAATGGCTTAGCTTGAATTGTTTGCATCATTCACGTGAGCAAATCTACTTAGGCGTCTTAAAAATCATCCCCATCACTGCTAGGCAGTGATTACATTTTAACACTGCTAAAACATCCTTCTGAAAGAAATCACAAAATTGAAGCTCTAGGGTCGTCCGGTCAATGTTTTATAGTGTGTTTAAAACTATGCGGCATGAGCAGAATCTCTAACTAAAACAATCATAATGCCTTGGTGTTCCAAACTTAAAGAAACTAGAAGGCTAGAACAAGAAATCAAAATCCAGTGAGATATCAGGATTTGTACTGGTAGACATGAACTACATAACGATTGAAAGATCTTTTCAGATCAAAATAAGCTGTGAAATATGTCGAGATATATATATATATATATATAAAGAAAACGTATTCGCATGCAGAGGCAAGGCTGATGACAATGGCGACACAACTTGTGCTTTTATTTCCATGATATTACATTTTCAGGCAGTTCCATGTAAATAAACCTGAGGAATAGTACAGGGCTACAGAGCATTAAAATTTACAACCAACTATGCTTGTTATCTACATAATTCCGTAGCAATCACATAAATCTTCAACCTGTAATTTATAATCTGCATAACAAGATAAAGAATTTGAATGGAATTAACACATTTTCTGTCCCTCGAATATAACTTGCATGTTATCTAATGTTTTAGAGAAAATCAAAAGCTCACCAAGAACTTATAGAACCCTCCTTTTAAATACAGTATTGCATTTATTGAATCATTTCCATGGGTCTTGTGACTCTTGTGAGGTTCAAGAATTGAAACTACAAGATTGGATTATACTAAGAACCACAAAGATTCAGGGCAATTTTTGCTATCATCTATAAAAATAAAAAATCAGTGGGAATTTTTTTTCTTTAATTTTCTTTTTGTCACTTTATCGAGCTGAATACATAGTCATGGTTATATCCATTTGAAACGTGGTGTACAAGTAATTTCTATTAAAAGAAATGAGCACTGTGTATCAACAACAACAACAACAACAACAAATCTATTCCTATCCTAGAAAAATCATTCTAGCCATTGTCTTCAAAGGGTGTTTCACTTTGTAATTGGTTTTGTACTCCAAATCCTCTGCTGCTCATCAAAGCTTCTAATGGCAGCAGACTGCTTTTCATCACCAAGTCGATTTGTGAAAACATCATAATATGCCATAGGGTCAAGATTTTCCAATATTTTTACTGATTTCCCTTGTTTGTTGTCAATAATAATTTGTCCATCTTCAGATTCAACCCCTGTTGCAAAAACTTTTACAGGCTTGACTTGAAAGGCCGAATTCAGAATGGAATTGTCACCCGACAATATTACAGCACCAAGGATTTCCCCCAGAAATGTATCCTGCAGTAGAGATAAACACTTAGTGGTAGCAACTAAAACAATGAAGTGCACAATTGGAAAGTACCATGAGCTAAAAGCTTTTATTATTTAGAATTTAATCAATTAAATTAGTTCTAGCAGTCGGGTTGGTGACAGTAATTGGTTTAGAAAATGGGGGAAACAACCGATTAGGGTTATGAAAGTCATCAAAACAGATTGAAACCTGTTTCAGGAATATTTGCAAATTGGATGGATTCGTGTTCATATTGGTCATGACAAAGTTTTAGGCCGACTGTCAAGCTAAATAGGATACCATACCGTATGTTGATATCTATGATGCTTTTGTTGCAAGCGGTGTAGCCTTGATAGCAAACGCCTAGCGAAAACAACTTCAGGTGTCTTCTTTGTCAGGTTCAGCCTTTCCAGAATCTTAAGAAATACACCGACTTTACGCTGTGTGGCAAGTGGAATGAGGGTGATATCTAGTTCTGAGTCGAACACTGCCTTTGCAGCCGAAGGATCAAGAAACATGTTGAATTCTGCATATTCATTTGAAGGAACAGTGAACACATTTCCTTTCTCTGTGTTATCGTAGTTGATATGCCCCCCTACTATAAATACATCCTGCATTGAGATATAAAACAGTTGGAAACATTTTGAACAAGAAATAAAGTGCTAGTCCAGTGCGCGAGGCTCCTGCCATTGTAGGGCAGCCTTGCATTCGCATGGGGAGACTGTTTCATGACATTTTGATCAAGAAATGCATACTGTAAAATATTTCTGCGACTGGTCTGAATTAGAGAGCCGTGAGGGAGTATCTAGAACCACTAACCTGAATTAGAGAGCTTGCATTTTTGTTCGAAAGAATAATCTTTGCTAAATTAGTCAAAGGTCCGTTAGTCAATATGGTAATCTTAGATCCCGGGTTGAGTGATTTTGATACAGAATCCCAGATCTCCAATGCCAATGGCTGCCTAAGTTCAGGGTGATTGGTATCTCGTGGAGCTCCAAATTTTGCAGAGTTCTCTGCTGTATACCTGGAATAAAATTCAGAGTTCAGTACAAAAATGCAGCACATAAAACAAATGTAAGAGTAAAGTTCTATCTAATTCCAATATCAAGGCACCAATTCTATCCAACCGAACATAGCATTAATGCATTTGCAATGTCAAAATCAGTAAAATGTTTGAGTACCTTCGAGGGCTTCGTGGCAAATTACGAGCAAACCCATATAGAGTATCCGAGTCCAGAAGTCCACCACCACCATGTGGGATAGCCTTGGTGTACTTGCAGTCTCCAACAGCAGAGAAAAGAGAATCGGACTGGTTCATAGGAAACACGTCTCCTAGACCAACAGGAATGTCATCACGACCCATCATATGTAGCAAATCATATATCACATCTATTGTTGCTGCATTTGCCCACCCAGTTGGACTCACTAGTATTGCCTGGATGAAAACACAAAGATGATGATGCTCAATTGGAAATATGAAAATTGGCAATAAATTGTAATATTTATTGGAAGCAACATCTAATAATTTCTCAAATTACAAGTAATTAATATTATTTCCTTTCTTTTCCTTGCTGTTTAAAAAAAAAAAAAACCCATCATCATCAAAGAACCTTAGCTCCAAAACAACATGCCTACCACAAAACCTTGTTTCTCCTAGCCAAATGTATGGAACCATGCTGATGGTGTTTGTTTCACACTATAATAATGGTTCCGAGATTTTTTTTTTTTTTTTTTTTTTTGCACTGGGGAGATGGAAGAGCATATTTACCTTGAGGTTGATGAGTTCCACAGGTAATTTAAGGAGATAAAATAGGGCCAGAAAATCTCCTGCACTCATATCCATGTCAAACACCACATCTTTCCCAAGCTTCTTTCCTTCAAAATCTGGTTTGTACAGAATTTCCTTGTAAGAAGTAAATTGTGTTGTGAAATTGAACCTTCCAGTATGCTCAGGGTGGTTTAGAACCTGTAACCATAATATATATATATATATATATATATATATATATATGAAGTACAAAATATTACTTTGGGAAGAAGTTGTCTTCTCTAAATCAATAAATGGTGCACAGAGACATATACACACACGTACGCATAAGATCAAGTAATAGGTGAAGTGTCAATATATAGTTGAAGAATAAAAGGACTTGGAAGAACTCACATCCAAGAAGCTCCTGAAGAATTCTCTGTCCAGTGAGCTGTTACTGTCACGATTGGGTTTTGCTCTCGTAGCAACAAGCACACGAACTGCTTCTGCACCAGTCACTTCCATGGTATAACCGTCCTGATTACGTGCATTGAATTAGTAGATGCAGATAAACTATGAAGTTAAATTCTGAGACAGTGGTAACAATTCAATTTTTCACTCCCTTGACAAATGAATGAAATCATAGAATTAAAAATCAACATTAATTCATATTCTAGATATCATTCTTCAATTTCATAAGTACCTTACATCTCCCTTTCCCATTCTCGGAAATGCAAAATGGATCTCGAAGTCCAGTCTGAACATGACCACTATGAACTCCATCTTTCTGTAAGTTGAACTTGGGAGTTTTAAGGCCATCAAAGAAGGGATTTGAACCATCAGAAATCCCATATGGCTCGTTTGAAGTAACTACAGTAATATTCATGTACTCCATTTCAGCAAATTCATTTTCCCCATTATACTTGTCTGAATTACGCATGATTGAAGTCGCTACACCAGATGTAAATGAGTCCCACATAAAATAACTCTGCAAAAAAAACAAGACACTTATCATCAACAAAATCACCATATTCAAATGTTAGCATAATAGTATAGTCTTCAAAGCAAATACATGGATCACCGCGGTCCATTTCTAAAGTATTACCGTATAGAATTCATCGTCAAACCATGTATCCCGAGCCATTTTCAAGGATTTGAAGCAGTACTGTGCCTCGAACGTTTTCTGACTCTGGTCAAATGCCTCGAAGAACTTCTCATTTATGGGGATTGTGTTTGTTGCATCCAAAGGAACAAGGGTAACCGGAATCCCAGAATGGATTACCTGCAGTATAAATAAACAGAATTAAGACTGTGACTGAGACACTTACTTAGGATACATTTTGAAACAACCATTGATTAGTATGCACACAAACTGAATTACCTGGTAGGCAGCAAAAGGATCTCCGAAGATATTGAACTCTGCATAGGGATTATAAGTGTAGTCTGTGAACAAATTTCCAGGGTCACCACATTGCCGAGGCTGGCAAGATGAGCTAGCATTTTGTGGGCAGCAACCGGTAGGGTTCTGTGACCTCACGCCACCACCCATGACATAAATATGCTCAACATTTTTCTTTAGATGAGGATTTTTCATAAGAAAAATGGCGAAATTCGTATGAGCTCCAATAATGAACACAGTAATTGGACCTGCAGATATCGTGTCAATCATTACTTGCTGAGCACTAGGTTGTCGGAGAGGAGTATATTTCCTGCTACCCTGATTTCATGACCAAATTAATGTGTTATGTTCATCAATACTATGACCAAAAAGGATAACAAAAAAGAGCTCTTAAAATTTTTTTTAAAAAAATTTAGAAATTTAAAATTCCAAATTTAGCAAACCAGAAACAGTCCTGAAAACCATAACTAGATGACTTTAATAAAAAATTTATAACTCTCACTTTCTAACTCAAATTTTCATGTTTCTCGGTCAAGAACATCGTGAAGGACACTATAAATAGTGGCCATTTTAATTTTATGCCAAAGCATTCGACTTGAGATTTACGGTATGGTATTGTTTGCTCATAAATTCATACCTGTGGAAGAAAGCTTCTTCGAAAGCCATAGTTGGTATCAATATCTAAACGTCCTCCAAGGCCTACAGGAATAGCTTGTCTGTATCTGCAATAACCAGCAGTACCAAGCCCCTGAATTTGGGGGAGAAAATAAAGTTAGAAATATGTTTTTTTCTAATTAAAAAAGAAATCAAAATTTTCAGTTTTTGAAATACCAAAATATTATAGTATAGAGGCCTATGTTAAAGTCCATTTTTAACCTATTGCAGAAACAAGAATCGCATTTGAAAAAAAAAAAAAAAAAAAAAAAACAGGGTATTACTCTGCACCTGTTCAATTATTGGAAGATATCCACCAACATCTGGTAGTACAGTCCCATCTTCAAGAATCCCACCCTCACCTCCCACTCCAACCGGAATGTCGTCCCGGTCCATCATGTAAAGAATGTCATAAATTTGATTAATAGCATGCCCAGCATCAGTCCATGCATTAGTGTTAATAGTTATTGCCTGCACCAAGTTAAGGTAATGCATATAAGAGTCTGAAATTATATCATCAGTGTTGTGCATATGATCAAGAGCTATCAGTTACATGTGAATGTCACTAGAGCTTGTTTCAGTAAACTATATCAAAGAAGAAAAAGAATTAGGAAGCATGATCTTCAAATATATATGTAGTATATCTAAAGTACCAAAAACAATTAAAGTTTCAAGTTTTAACAGTAAATCACATTATTTTTTTTGACTAATTTATAATAGGGTGTTTTAAGAATAAATTATTTATCACTTGTACTTAAGAAATATAATGGTCAACATCTAATTTATTTAGTATTCAAATATTAGAATTCCAAGAACAATATATATATATATATATATATATATATATATATATATATATATACACGTAGTATATTATATTATCACTTGTACTTGATAAATTTAATGGTCAACGACTGATTTATTTATAATATTTTGTGATTGAGTCATGAAAGACTAAATAGAATATTAGTTACAGCTTTAACACAGCTATCTGAAACAGAAGAGATTTTACTCAAAATCAAACTGTATCCTTATCCAACAAGAACAAGCAATATACTAATAGATTCAGCAAAGCAGAATAATATGGAAAAAATAATAATAATAAAACTTAAACATGTCAAATTTTAAATTTCATATTATGTACAAATACTGAAATTTTTCAACACAATTCAATTCGACTAATTATATGTGTGTATATATACATATATATCCATATGAAATCTATTGCAAATCCAATAGTAATTACTTTAAAACGAAAAATGGATTTAAAAAAAAAAAAAAAAAAAAAAAAGAATCGAACCTGCAAATCAAACTCTGATCGATTGAGCTTCAAGAGGTAGAGAAGGGCGAAGAAATCGTCAGTATCTACATCTGTATCCAAAAGTATCCGATGTGGTAGAGCCTCCACAGAGTATAAACTAGCTCCGACTATTGCGACTATAGATATAGCAATCCATATATATCTCTGTAACAACATTTCCTCTGTTTGGATCCAAAACTCCTGATTTTCTTCTCTGCATTAACAAATTCAATTCAAAAATCATAAATGAATCGCATTATTCCCGAAAAAATCATGATAAAAAAGCGAAGATTTGAAAATTCAACTAGTTAAATCGATCATATACATATTACATACACGTGTATTATGTATGTATAGGAATTTATCAGAAGGACGGACGTAACAACTAACATGTACTATTGAAACGCAGAGCTTGGAGTCAGAGAACATAAAGGACAACGGGTTTTGTATACAGGACAACGTGTTGTGTATACAAAATGAAAGTTTTACCGTTTAGATATATATATATATATATATATATATATACATACAGAAATGAGCGTATATTAAATGAGAACGTGATGGAGCCGTGAAAAATGCCGAGAGCTGACGGAGGAGTAGACGAAATCACGTCTTCATTACTGGCACTGGATTCTTGGAGAATGGAGAGCCTGGAGAGAGAAAGTGAGTGGAGGGAGAGAGAGGGAGAGAGATTGTAGTATTGATTAATGTAGTTGTATAACTATATAGTATAGTATATATAACCAATAATCGAAATGATGATTATTGAAATGGGAATTTGGTACTTTTGACTAGTTGGGTAGTTTATGACATATATGGTGGTGATTGTGTCACACAAGGTTACCATCTTAGGTCACCCATGAATTAAATAACTATTTTAGTCCACTACAAAGCATCATTAAATATCAAAGTTATAGATTTTTTAGTCTACTTTAAGTAGTTGTTAACAATTTTAGTCTAATTTGACTAGTTGTTAATATGACATGGATTTTTCTTCTTAAATTGATTGTGTAAAGTCATAAATGGTCATCTCTAACAACCTCCTTTTTATTCTTTTTGAAATTGTTAACTTTTGAAAATGAATTGCTCAGGTTTATCATTATAGACGTATATGTAATAAGACAAAAAATAATTATTTGGCATATACATTATGTGGTATGTGAGCCATTCAATAAATATAACATTTTACTTCGAAAAAAAAAAAAAAAAAATTACAGTTCTTATAATAAGTTATAGGGTAAAGTGCAAGAAACCCCCCTATATTTTCAGCAAAAAACACAAAACCCCCCTAAACTAAGTAATACTCCCTAAACTATTCAAAATTTGCAATTTAAGGACAAATTCTAAAATCATAGGCACCGGAGCTTACCGGAAATATTAAATTACCAAATTGGCCTTAAATCAACCGACACCGTTTGGAATGTTTATTGTCGTTTGTTAAGTAGCAATCTTAAAAAACCAATGATATGGCGACAACCCAACACCTTATCAACAAGCTTCACCTACCCTTCACCGTTTTAGCGCCAAACAACTTCCATACAGACTCCAATCTAAGAAGTTGACTCTGAAACTCAATTTGGAAACCATCGCTCATTCCATACAGAATTACACTACTAACTTTAGCACCAAACACCAACACTTGTACCAGACCCACCTATATATAAGCCACACACGCATATATATATATACATACGGTCGACTTTCCATCTGCACCTTCGATCGAGAATTTTTTTCCTAATTTTTCAAATTTGCCAATTTGTTTCCTCAATTGCCTCCAAAATTTCTCTCTTAGGCAATCTTAACCGCCGCCGGCGCAATATTGCCTCCCCTCGGCAATCTTCATCGCCGCTGGGGCGATATTGCCTCCCATCGGCAATCTTCATCGCTGCCGGGGCGATATTGCCTCCCATCGGCAATCTTCATCGCTGCCGGCGCAATATCGCCTCCCTTCGGCAATCTCCATCGCTGCCGGCGCAATATTGCCTCCCTTCTGCAATCTTCATCGCTGTCGGCGCAATATCGCCTCCCCTCACCACCAGTCAACGGAGGGAACTTTTCATAACCCGCCGTCACAATATATATATATATATATATATATATATATATATATATATATAGTTGAACAGAAGCCATGGATCTTGTATACTGTTGATTTGTTAGTTCCAATAAAATAATGTTAAGCCATTTCAATGCATACTTGGTTTTGGAAAACAAAGAGAACCCAAATAAAAGGGATTTTACAAACTTAATTGTGGAGAAGGAGTAGTTCAGATTGAGGTTTGTTTGTTTGTTGCGCGAATGGTACAAGTGCGGTGATTGATTTATCAAATAACTTCAGGCACCAGTGGTGAAGAAGATGAACGTGACCGGCGTGACTTGTCTTGTTGTGGTAATTGAAAGATGGAGTACATGTAGTTGGAGTTGGAGGGTCTCTTTCTTCCATTGGAGTTTTGACGCACTCTATCTGATCATTTTTTTTTTTCTTCAGAAGGTAACTCTATCTGATCATTTTGTGTGTCGCTTCAGTTGGGGTTGCAAGGTGAGACCTCCACAGGGATGGCAATGGCGATTTGTGAATTTGGGGTTTCGTTAATTATCCCATAAGTAATAAGGGTAGTACCGGCATTTTGAAATTATAACCTAATTTACATGATAATCAGATGACGGAACCGTGTCATTTGGGGTTTTTTTGCAAAAATTAAAATAGTTTAGGGAGTTTTCTTTTAAAATAAAAGTTCAAGGGGGTTTTTTGCAAGAGAGAGTAAAGATCAGGGAGGTTTTTTGCACTTTACCCTAAGTTATAATATGGTTGAGAGTTACGATGGAATCGTTGCAGTGAAAATGTAAGAGACAGAGAGGGTGGGGTGAAAAAGGTTGTTTTGGTCCTTTTGAACAATGATACGAGGAAAGCGACATTGTGTTTGTCGGCAATCCTTTGAAATTTCCCATTGGATGCCAATACTCCACATGCAACGCTTATTCATTATTTCTCGTTATTTTATTTGATTTGATGTATGATTCCGATTCCATCTCACCTTTGTGTGGACCACCCCTATTCACTGTGTGCTTTTGACTGCTCGTGTCATACCCACGTGGACAATTCATTCCCACCAAAAAGCATACTGTACTAAATTGGTATTACAGTTTTGTGATTTGCACAGATACTTTATTTAATTTATGGATTCAAATCACTCATTTCCAAATAATGATTAGGAAAAATACAATAAAAATAGAGCTTAGGAAGATTATGTTGGTAAATGAGACAGAGATTGAGACACACTATTTCTTCGCTTCGTGTATTTAAAAAAATGGAATGTCCAACAACTCTGGTCTTTAATGTACTTATATTTTGTGTCCATAAAAAAAAATCTTTTTAAATTATTTGACGGACTCACTAAAATTATTTATTATTTAAATAAATAGTAAATGAGACGGCAATTGAGACACGCTATTTCTTGCTTCATGTATTTAAAGAAATGGAATGTCACCGACTCTTGTTCTTTAATGTACTACTTATATCCAAGTATTTGTGTCCATATAAAGTTGCTAATTTATTGGACTAATAAATAGTTAGAAAATAGTTCTTGCACCGAATAGTTATAGTAAATTATTAGACCTACTTTTTTAATTGGTCAATTATGTAACAAATAATGAATGAAGTCCTCTCTTTAGTTGTATTTGGTATAAATAGTCAATAATTCCCTCTGTCCCAAAATAAGTATCATATTTTTTTTTTGTCTATCCTAAAATAATAGTTCACTCTTCTTTTTCAAACAATATATTTTATATATTTCTATATAGTTTAAATATTCAAATTTGAATATTCAAAACTTAAAAGAACAAATTAGTAATTTGTCAGGCAGACAATGCATGTCTCATGTATCCCCTTAAAAATTAATACTTTCCATAAGCGACACTTAAAATTATTCACAATTCGCTGCAAGTATTCTATATGAGTATCACTTACAAGTATTCGATGTAAGTATCACTATTCTAAATAATTTTAATGAGATTTTAACAAGTCGGTCAATTCATTTAAAAATATTTTTTTAATTTTAAATGTCGGTGAATCACAATTACGATGCCACCTCAAAAAATGCTAATCTATTTGACTGAAATCTAGTGAGTTAGTCGATTAATTTTTTAAAAAAAATTAAAAATTAATTTTAAATGTCGGTGAACTACAATTAAGATGCCACAAAAAAAATTAATTTTAAATGTCGGTGAACTACAATTAAGATGCCACCTCATAGAATTCATTCAAAGTATATAAAACAGTTCTTTGACTAATAATGGCTAACATCGAGTTGCAATTTTGTCATAACTTGAGGACCATTGTAGAATTAATTTCTTTATATCTATGTATGTGTGTATATATGCGTGTGTTTATATCTATGTATGTGTGTATATATGCGTGTGTGGATACAATGCATATGAGTCAAGCATGCAATGTACCCACTCATAAATGGGAAAGCCTTAAATTTGAATATTCAAGTTGTACACAAAGTCTACTACTAGAAAATGGGGAATGAAGCCACAACTTTGTCAAATTGATGAATAGTTGACTCTAACCATTTGCTTATTCACGCAATTGATTTTGGTGAATTCACGTGTTGTTCAATTAGAAGTGACAATTTTAATCTAATAATAACACTCAGAAGATAACTGCATGTTTTGTTGACTTTCAAACTATTCAAATCTGGCTTTTGCTAATAGCCCTTTAAGGAAGAGAATCATATTAGAGAATTAATTTACATTGTAAGAAACTAGTGTTGGGTGTCCACAGCATGTTAAAGATCTTATTCCCCCACCATTGATTTGTTTATAGGCTTTATAAATGGAGATTAGGGCCCACTTCATTTGTGTTTGTGTGTGTGTGTGATGGTGGAGAATGAAGGTTGAAAGAAGATTAAACACATTAGATAAACAGAAAGTTAAAAAAGGAGATAAAGGTAAAGCCAAAGGGATTAGAAGATTTTAGAAAGCAAAATGTTGTGTGTCTGGTTGGGAACCAAAAGGTGCTTTACTTTCTACCACTAACACAAATGCTTAATCTTAGTCAAACCTCAATTTTTTTTCTCCATTATAAGGTGATTTGGACAAGCTAATCCTTGCAACCAAACACTCAGAAAGCAACCCAACACCAACTACCAAACACTCAGAAAGCAACCCAACACCAACTAAATATTAACCGAAATCTTATTATATTGACCAGTCACTATTTCTTGAAATCATCTAAACTTATTTTTATGAAAATTGTAGTCATCATCCATGCTTTATTTTTTTTATATGAATAGGGTCCACCAAATATATATATATAGCAAAATCGTAACTAAATTGAAGACAAAGATGACGGGAAAGCAAACATATCAAGTCCAATCAATTTGATTACACATTCTCCAATTTAGTGCCTAAGACAAGTAAATAATGGGCTAAATGCACCAATCAGAGATTCAGAATATAGTCAAAAGGGTCTAAGCAAACATATTAAAGAAAAATAGAGGTTTGTACTTTCTTATCCTTAAATAATTCAATTTTAAATGCAAATATACATTGCGGGTCCCGATATCACCCACTGTTAAGAGACAAGTTTGATTCATATTTCAATCCACATATGCCCATCGTGCTTGTGGAGGCCCAACCTATCCGTTGCACGAATACAGAGTGTGGTGGTGGTATTGGACATTTAAAAACGTACATACACACATGACCTAGTTACGACGGGTGTCAAAATTCAAAAGAACAGAATTTAATGTAATTTAAAACATATTACGAGTTAATTAAAAAATTAATATAATTCTTTTTTTAAAAAATAATAAACAATCAATGCAAGAGACATTGATGTGAAATGGGAACTCCCGGTTCCTTCATCCGACGACCACCGATGCCACCTGATTGACACTGTCCCGACCACCACCAAAGCACACCGGGATAGTTGCTACAACTGATATTGGGAAGTTTGGGTTTCCTTGGGCCTTTTTAACTTGGGTTGTCTCTATACTTGGGCTATCCCTTTACGGGTTTGTCTGAGCATGGGCTCTGCAGATTTTTGACCGTAATGGGTTTGTACATTTTACCGCTTCAATATAAACTTTACACACTGCAAAATATATATATATTTAAACTTTACACTTACCTAGTTACCTTTCAAAACAAAATAATAATAATTGCACAAAATTTTCTGAATTATATCATTTTTGTGAAAAAGGGTATTTTGGGTATAATAAAGGGTAGTTCCATCAAAGAGCACACCGGTAAATAGCCTATTCGGACTAGTATTTTCATGTGATTGAACTCAATATTTTTGAGCAAGTATTGTTGATGCCAACCACATTGGGGAAAATCTCAACACATGCAAAGAAAGTCAACACTCACAATGGGATGGATAATGGAAGTGAATACTAAGACGAGCCATATGAAACCTCCACGTCCAGAAAATTTTATTGCAGATAATTTACAGCAATATTTTCACTTCGAAAAGGAAAATGGCAATAACTACAAAATATTAAGTACAATTTAGATATCGTCTCTGAAAGATATAAGAAACATGATGTGAGTGCAATATATTAATCAAAATACCAGAAATAATTCGGATGTGAGAAGATGATCCATTCACCAGAATTGTCTTCTCCGCCTTCTAATTCGCTTTGCGGGAATTGGTGTTTCAGCATTACCGGGAAATTCCCATTTCGCGATAACACCATCCCAGGCAGAGCTGACGATCATGGGGTAATAAGGATGCCAACTGCAATCTCTTACAGTATCATCATGGTAGTTGAGTCTTGCAACTTGTTCTCCGGTCACCTACAAAGATCATCAAGGCATCCACTAAACACAATGTAACAAGAAGGGCAAAATGATAACGTAACAGCATCTATCGCCAATCTTTGCATTCACTGAAAACCAAAGGCCAGACAAACCACCAAAATTTTAAATTTTCAAATCTAACTGAAGCCTCAAAAGAAAGAAGAAAAAAAAAACGAACAATAAAAATCTGGCTGAATTGGCATTTGCTTATTTCCATAAACCTTGTTGAAATCATGGTATGTCCATTGACATGTTATAAAAACCGGACTGGACCAGCTAGTTCAACCGGTACACTTTGTCCAGTCTCCGGTACACCAAAATCATTTCTTCTACAAAATCGTGCTCTTTTTACTCTAATTTATTAATTTATTTATTTATTTTTTATTTTTTTTAACTAGGCAGATTAATTAACCACAAGCAGATGGGTTTGCGGCACTACCCTACTTCTACTGTATGATTACAAAACTTATCCACCTCATTTCCTTGATTCCTTTCCCATTACTTAAATTCAGTAATCATAGCTTTCTTCTTCATCCCTCTCTCTTTTCAGGTGTCCTGCTTTTTCTTTTTCTTTTTCTTGATTAAGGATAATTATTACTTGGCATTAGCTCTTAATAAGCTCTTAATATCCTACAACCTATTTCATCACGATTCACCAATAATGTATAGCAATCTCTCTATAATATATATATATGTATGCAATTATATGATTAGGATAAGTGGATCTTTCCTCACTAGATGGAAAGATAAAATGTGTGATACCCACACGGACCACACATCGCTTGTCCCATACATATGAAAAGGATATGCAGAAAGGATATGATTTTTGCAGTTCCCCACCCTAATGTTAGGTATAGCCTATAACAAGATGTCTCAAAGCAACTCCAACAAAAAAGAAAAAAAAATAACTGGGTGCAGTGAAAATCTTGAATACGTACCAGATCATATATATATACAGAAGAATCACTAGATCCAGTGTAGATGTAACTTTGACCAGTGCTGCAAACAAAACAGGATACGAAATTAAATACTTTAATTTGAATTGTTTTTAGCACTTGGTTAATCTTTTTGATAATTCAGTAAAACCACTGAAAAATCAAAAGAATATCTAAGAAATATTATTGAGCAACCAATGTGCAACCAAACTTTGACAACAAGAGAGGGGTGGTTCCATCCAGTTGAACCAGCAGAATAGGCCAACTAGATCAAAACAATTTTCAACTGAAAACTATTAGAAAATAATTTATTTATTGAAAATTAATCAGTTTCAATAACACCTGGTTTGACAAAGTAACTCCAAATTGTCAGGTTTTAAGCTCAACTTTTCGTTCAAGCATACCACACTAATTCATTGTAAAGGTTGTGAACTGAGTCAATTGCTTGACCAGCCTCCGTTATCTAAACTAGGTGCACTAGTCATAAGCTAAAGGTTGATTGAAGCAACACCAATCACTTCAAGAATTTGCAAGCAAAACAACTTTTTAAGTAAAATATAATACACTACTACTAGAAGATAAAAGAAGGCCATTATTTAATGCCGGTCCCACCTACACTACTACTAAAAGTTACTGTATCTTCCATTCATAAATTACCTATGTGCTGGGGAAAAGTAACAGCGTATGAGGGTGCGCAAGACTTCATGGCCTCGATAGGTAGCCAATGATTGATCTTGTGGATGTCTCAAATCTTTTGCATGATATGGGTAATCCATCCATCTGTAGTCCCATTCTTTATTTCTAGGTGTTGGACTGCTGCATCAAAGAAAATCCAATCAGCATAGAAATTTATAAGACAATATTTTGACAGACACACCATATCAAGTTGCTATGTCCAAGTTCAGAATAACTGCAAAAATTGTCTGTCCAAACCCCTTTTTTTTTTTTTTAGGTTTATCAGGGTAGGTAAGATTACAAAAATTTCTTCCCCAACCTGAATGCCAACTGCCAAGGGTTCACATAACTTGCACCAGCGAGTCAAGAAACAAGTTTGGCCCTCTCAGGGACTTGCTTAAGAATAGGAAAGAGGAACCTCATGTAAATATCATCAAATAAGATTTGATCCTATTCATGGAGATTCCATATGCATTCATTTCCTCATTGACACAATCCATGACACTATCGGAGTGAAACAGGGGATCTAAACAAGAATAGAGGCTAGACTATATTAGTACAAACCACACTTCCTTGGCTTTGCCCATTTTTCAGATTACAGCAGGTATGCCACTCGATCCTCCTCCCATTACCGTTTCTGTGGTTCTCCCACCCTTACTTCCAGATACACATATATCCCCTCATTCCAATTTCTCACCAATTTCGGTGGATATTCCCGGCTTAGAAACCTTCAACCATAACCTTACCCTGCCTTTGCCGCAAAGCTTTCTCAATGGTTTTGCACACCCACCCCTCAAAAATCCACGTTCACTGACCAACCACCAGTTCAAACACTAGTCTAGAAATCAATTTTGAAAGGAACAAAAAAAAAAAAAAAAAGAGAGAGAGAGAGAGAGAGAGAGAGAGAATAGTATAATATGAAGGAAAAATAAATATATAAAAGGCAATGGAAGTAGACGTGCCAAGTGACATTAGAGGACATTTTTCGAATATCCCAAAGTTTGATAGCTTGATCTTTTCCATTTGAGATAAAATAACGGCCATCTCCACGACTGTCGATGAATGTAATGCCCTCTAGATGTCCCACCAGGGCACCAGCAGCTTGTCCTTTTGCAGCAAAGCAACGCCTGTCCCACACCTGAAGGATAACAGATTAGAATTAGCAAACAAACCCTCGTCATATAGGCAAATATTGCAAAACTACAGCAATGTTAATGTCAAACCAGACCAAACATTTCCATTTCCTGAATTTCCCTGACAAAATAAACTGTAGGTAAGGTACAGAATAACTTTCAAACCACATGTTAAAGACCCAATGTCAAGACTTCCCCAAAGTCCCAAAAGTTTTCATAGGAAATTTTAACGAGATTCCTTTTCAAAAGAATTTATTAACCATCTTAGGATTTTATTTATTATTATTTTATTTATTGTTGTAAGGACCGTCTTAGGTTGATTACACCAAAAGAATGATCTATGTACCTAGAATTCAGCAGATGCATGACAAATCGTGGAATCAGAATAAATTTTGCACTGCAGATTGATATATCACTCCTAAACTAGAGTTTTGTCCTTCCCAAATGTTAGATATCTGAGAACTATTTGGATGACACAGCACATTTGGACTAAAAGGCTAGCCCAGTGCATGAGTCTCCCACCATTGCGGTCTGGGGAGGGAAAATGTATGCAGCCTTATTGTCCAGTTGTCCACATGCATAGAGGTTGTTTCCCGTTTCGAACCCGTGACCTCCAAGTCACAATGGAACAACATTACCGTTGCGCCAAGGCCCGCCCTCACACACCACATTTGGACTACACTTGTAGTAATACCCAAGAGTTTTTCGTCACTCAAGAATCTAGGAGTCTGTAAACTGGTTGAATGAAACTTTGCCATGGACCACACTTGGATCCTAAGAAACCTGCTCGTCTACACAGCTCATGCTTATGAGGTTGTATTGAGTGACTTACTGACCTGGTGGCGTGAAATAAAATCATTACATGAAAAAAAAAAAAGGCCTGTTTGATTGAGTCCTTTGAAAATGCTTCTCTGGAGACAGTTAAAAGGAACCCAATTTCAGATAACACTCCTTTCAGAATTCAGACTTGAAAACTATATTCAGAAAATTGAACCAAACATGCCCAAAGTCACCTGAATTTCATATCTACATGACCTGAACTCAACCAAGGCGAAGGATTGTATTTACCTTACAAAGGTTATCATCACTCCCCGAATATATGAGATTGCCACTTTCATCAGCAAAGCATACAGTGTTAACATCAGACTGCCATAAAAATCATAAATGAAATTTTAGCATATCCTAACATCTGTGTAACTGTCAAAGGGGAAGCCACCACAAAAGGGAAATGCTAGAATAACAATAAAGTAACCAACATATTAAAATGATTTCCATCAAAGAGACTGAAACATGCACAGTTATGTATCAAATATATTCAGAAATATAGAATGCAGCAGTACATTTCTATAGGTAAGGACCGGAAAGTTTACAGCAGGGTTAAAGAAGAACAAGATAGATCAAAGAGCTTGTATCAACTCACGAGTTGCAACAGAATGTAAAAATAAAAAAATAAAAATAAAAATTGGGGAATTTGGAGTAAAAATTGAATAAGCAAATTATTAATCTGCAGAGCACCGACTTTGGAGTAGGTGAACCCACACCAACCATCCCCCACCCCCCTCTCTCTTCCTTTCTTCTCCAGGAAGCTTGGTGGGAAGGTCGATCTATTTCAAATATTTTAAGAGACGAAGTCATATCAATATGGTTCAATTCTACATAAAAACACGCATTGAGCAATAAAACTTTAACTGAACAAAGTCTGAATCCCAACCATTAACTTTTATCAAGGGAAGGTAAATATAATCCAGATATAGTCAACTTAATTCTAGAGGAAGATATACCAGCTTTCATGAACCAAGATAATTTTCAAAATCCATAAGGCTTCCTATTCATAACTTTGGGCACGAAACACTAATTAGAAATGTATAATAAGAAAACAAAACATAATACCGAGTGTGCTCGAATACGAAGGGTAGGCTTATTTGCTTCAAGATCATAAACATATATTGAATTATCACTACAAGCAGCTACAAGCTCTTGCCCATCAGTTGAAAATTTTACAGAAAAGATCCCAAAAGAGTAGTTGCCATCATCATAATCAGAAAAAACCAGACCGTCGTGAATTTCCTGCGTAATAGGAATTCCAGTGAGAAACAATGTATTATATTGAAATAAATGCAAGATTTATGGGGTGCAGTTGTGAGAAATAAAAGTAGCTTATGATCCCTCTCTCTCTCAAAAAAGATAAGTCCACAGTAAAATGAAAAGGATGGTCCAACATGGGTTTTAGTCATGGTCCAGATGTGAATTTGGTCAGTCCTAGCATCCAATGAGTCTCTCCAGGGAGTCCTTGCATCAAGTAAACCTGCTCAGGAACCTAACTGCCATATCTGAGGGCTCCCAGTGCTCTAAGTGTCCATTCCAATTATGGACCTCTCATATCAAAGTCCAGCACACTCGATAAAACTTTTCCATAATATTAATATTGTGTGTTTGATATTTATTAAGGAAAAGATACTAAAGATGTAAAGTTACGTCACCCTAACTTTATAATGTTCTTCATAGTAGAAAAAAGTGTTTCTGCCATTTAGGGAAAAAAAAGTGCTTGGGCATATGCTACTGTAGAAACTCTACTCTTTAGCTGGTCCGTCCAAAGTGGACTCTAAAAGAGTGCATGACAATTGATCGGCAGAAGGACAAATATAGTACAGTAAGTATCGTCCAATCAACTGGTTTATTTTTTTAACAGATCTCCCAAGTGAGATCTAGTGATCTACCAAATGGTACTATCCTGCAACAAGCACAAATTAAATGTGCACCATGTACACAATCAAAATCTGTGCACACTAGACTCTACCATAACCACTACATCGGATTTATTCATTTTAAATTACAATTTGCCAACATTGTTTTCTTAGTTAAAATCAATAATCATCAGCTACTTCCAAAGATAACAAGAATCAGGCATATGGTCCACTAAGGGAACGTCGGTATAATAAATAACAACAAACCTGGTATAATTAAGCATATAAGAAGCATAAGTTACTCACTTTGGCATGCCATATCTATCGTTTATGTTGTTTCTCCCACAAAAATTAATGTCAACAAAACTTGCAATGCATACCGTAATGTTTGCAAGAGATTCTGTTGCAGCAGATCCAACATCAACAATATAGGCAACAGGTGTCATACTGGCATAAACCTGCAATCGTTACATTTAGAATTTAACAATAACGACCAAACATTAGGTTGAATAATGATCTCAATAGTAAATCATCAAACAATCAAGTAATAGTAAACAAAGTAGACGAAAATCACACGCTAAAGATACAGTGAGAAGAAAAAAGATTAAGAGGAGGTAGGAGAAGAACAATAAGAATATGTATTGTTTGTGTCTCTTCTACATACAGAAGCATCATAAAATTAAGTTAATAACGTTCAAAATATTATTGATCAAACAACCAAGTGACAGTAGTAAACTAAGCAAAAGCACATGCCAAAAATGCAATGAAGACAAAGGAGGAGGAGGAGGAGGAGAAAAGATGACATATTCACTTGTTCGTGTTTGTGAGCCAGAGTGTCTGCATAGAAGCATTAAATAAATATCAACAACCAAGAGTTCATGATGAGAAATGGGCTAAATGATGCATGGGGTTAACTACGAAGTTTTTCATTAATTAGCATGAAGTGAAGATAAAAGAATCATACTAACAGTAACAGAAGTCATGTAAATCAAATGCTTTTCTAATAAATCTAATACAACTATAGATGATTTTTTTTTTTTTTTTTTGGATAAGTACAACTATAGATGAATTTTAAACCTCATTCCTCCCAGCTCCATCTCTCCATCTCCCTCGTCCTCTCCTCTCCCACGTTTCAAAACTATATGAGGGACCACAAGATTTTTTAAATATTGAGCACTTAATTAGAACCAGAATATATAAATGATGATGAAGTATGCTGGATGTTTAAGTGGAGGTGTTCAACTAACTCATACTCAAATCTTAAAATCATTTTTTGGTATCGATATGATAGTCTTTGACTTAATATGATGATCTTTTCTTTAATGTTGTTTGATTGAATTCCTGCTATTTTCATTTCATGTTTAATTTCAAAACCAAATGGCTGAAACAGCACCTTTAGATGCTGCAGCCTTATTTTTTACATAATTTATACAAGCCACATTTTCTCTTTACAATCATATATTGAGTATCAATGAATTACAGGACACAGTTTTCACTACAGGGCACATATAATTTGTTATCAATTGAAGCAGGTTTGAAGTCATAAAACAAGTGTGATCACCAATTTGGATAAAAACAACAGAAGGCAGCTATCAATCCAATTACACACAAACTTCAGACATATTGCAATAGAAATTATGATAATTGATTCAATATTCACATCATGATGGAATACCTATGTGCATGCTTGTTTAACTGCACAAACTTACAAGAAAACGCTGGTCTGGAGAAAGTGATGTATCAGTAATAGTCCATCGCAAGCTTTTGGCTTGAATATCTTTCTGAACTTTCCATCCATTATCCACGTTATATACCTTAATACGACTTTCCTGCTTATGAGACCATGACAAACCACAAAATAAAATTAAAATTGCAAACATTTCAATTAAATCAATTAATCCAAGTGAACAAAAGTTCCATAAACAAAAGATTATCTAAAACTTTTATTTCACTTCAATCAATAGCTACCTGAAATCCTGCTACAAAAAGAGAACCATCAGCAGAAAACTGCGAAACATAAGCACAGCTATTCATCTGATCAACCCTTGAAGGACCATTGACGGGCAAATATCGGCTTAGAAGGTGACAACTATCTGCAGATGAAAATCTGCCCCTCCCCGAATAGTTACCTTCCCGACCGGCCAACATTTTCACTGGGGAAACAAGTGATCTCAACTCGCTGGTTCGCACCCTACTCAAACGTTCATGGGGTACTGAGCTAAGCTTTGTGAGTTGAGCAATTTCGTGATCAAGATAATTTGATGGCTCCTTTGTCTCTTGATTCGAACTTGATCCTTGGGAGGCACTCTCATTATCGAAAGTGTTTGTATTTTTCCCTAACCTAGCCACCGCAGAAACTAATCTTTGCAACATCCCTGACTATATAAACACTTAAATTAACAACCCTAGCAAGCATATGCTAATCAATTGAGTTTTCAAAGCCATTCATCCAGCAAACAGCATGTCTCGACTTCAACTGAACCAGTAATGAATAGAAACGGCGTTAACAATTAGACTCACAAAGTCAAAAGTCACAATCTTGACAAAGAGTTAGGTACAAAATGAGTTGAGATTGCAAAATAGATTACCCCCTAAACAAGCAGAGACATATACACGCGCACACGCAAGTACATCATCAGCACATACACATACACATACACATACACATACACATACACATGTATAGATATACATAATCTAACCGATTACTCATCAAAGTTTAGAAATTATACACAATTGTTAAAATTATCACACCAATGAATTAAAAGAAAAACGCAAAGAACAAAACTTGGAGCGAATTGAAGTAATTCAAGATTGGAGAGTAATCAACATTTCACCTCTGTCGCGAGTGACAATTTTTAAGCCCTTGCAGTGCGACAGAAAAATTGAATTTCCTCGGAGGTAAAAGGAAAAGAAAATTAACGAACTCGTTTTCTCGAGAAAGTAGATGCACGAAAATTTTAGATAGTTTTCTCGGGAAGCTAGTCAGCACCTATATTTTACATGTTTCATCTTCTTCATACTTGCCGAAGACATCAAGCTGAGCGACAAAATTGTTCGTTGATAAATAAATGAAGGGTAGATGGTGTGGATCACGCGCAATTGTTTGTTTTGAATAAAAGAGTTCGTAAATGGAAGGTACGGCGTGCGGATCACGCGCATTTTTTCTTTATTTGTTTTAGTGAATTTGGGAACAGTGAAATTGGAGGTTGACAAATTTTGACACAAACCCCTAATTCCCGAATTGATTCATTCATTTATTTAATCGTAGTATTACGATTGAGGGGTTAACTCGTGTATCATAATCATAGGTATGACATGTGTAATCTGTTACTTATTTAAATCCAATTAATAGGAATAGTAGAGTCACGATTATAACATGTGTAATCTATTATATGTTTAGACTCAATTAATATAGATTTTTGAGTCATTTCAACATAAATCTTGAATGTCTTGTGATTTTTACTCAGAGGTGTTTGATATTTTTCGAAAGTGTGTCTACTAGTATGGTGTGTGTGAGGGTTCTTGGCAATTAAAAAATAATTGGAGGTATTTTTTTTTCTTTCCCGAAAATTCAAGTAAATGCATATAAATAGGGTAAAGTGCAAAAAAAAATTCATGAACTATTGCCATATTGCAAATAATCCCCATAAATTAAAGATTGGCCCCCTAAACTATTAATTTGTTGCAATAAAGGACAAACCTATCACAAAATATTATTTTACCCTTTCTTATGAAAATTTTTTTATTATATTTTCTCTTATTCAAAAATTAATTATACCATTTACCTTAATTTTATAATTAGTATCAATTTATCATAAAAATGAAAAATAATAAATAGATTAGTAGCTACCATTTTCTAAAATGATTAACTTATTATAATAAAACTTATTATACTCACCTTAAGAAAAATTAGTGTAAAAAATACCTTCTTTATCAAACAATATTCATGAAAATTTAATAAATTATGTAAATAAAAAATATCTTCTTTTTTATGCAATATTAATAAATTACATAAATAAAAAATATCTTCTTTTTTATGCAATATATTCATGAAAAAAAAATAAGAAATTACTTAAATTAATTCAAATTTTCTACTTAAGATTTTTATTTAAATAATTAATTTCAAAACTAAAGGGAAAACTATGCAAATTTAATGGAGAATATTTCATCAAAGTAGTATGAATTTTTTTCATAATTTAGAAATCTTGCAGAAGTTAGCAATGAAATATGTTTTATTAATCTCAAAATATTGGTCATAACAACTGAACTGATGCTTTTTGGTCATATCCCAAGCAAGAACATAGGCATGGTGTCAATAGATATGTGACACACCACTCCATTTCTTGTATTTCCTAAAGAGAAATCAGTTTCAGTTGGTTACATAACTAACAAGATTGGTTCAAGCTCACATGATTGCATCAGAAAATCTGGTTCAGATATTTTCTATGGAAAATTCTCTTGGAAAATCGGATGGAAAATCAAAGCCTTAAACATGTTCCACGATAAATCTTCTTGTAAATGGCCTTGGATCTTCTTTGCTAATTGAATAGTGGATACATTATGTAAAATCAAATCATAAATTTTAATTGTCTTTCAAGATATAATCCGGGTCTACGTCATAGCTCTCTTCGTTTCTACCAGTTGATGGATGCCTGAATTTCTTCCAATGTTTTTCCCTTGGTTTCAGGTACTATGTTTGCCACGAATACTACACAGAGCAAGCAAAAGCCAGAGTACACTGAAAATGTACCTGAGAAAAATAAAAAATAAAAAATAAAAAATAAAAAATAAAAAGCCCAAATCATGTGGAATCAGTTGTGAAACAATCCAAAGTTTCCAAACCTATCATTTCAATTGTATGTAATGAGGTTCAAAATTGTCCTAACCACTACAACTCCAGCTCATAAGAAAGTTGAAGGTGTAGGAAACTGCCCAAGCACCCAACCAGCATACCAGCTACCAGCACCACCAAACTCCCTGCTGCTCCCTTCACATGTAAAGGGAAGATCTGCCAAGGGAATAAATTTATTGAAATTCAGTAACTTTCTCACCTCTTTGTTTGGTTTCCAAGAAAATAAAGAGAAAGAAAGAGAAAAGTTCAATGCTATTGTCAGTTTTACAAGCATTAACATATGCTATATTTGACTTAGATGGAAGATGCAAAATTCTATCCAAGATTCAGATTTTGGCTGTGGTCGAAAGCTGGGAATGGAATGCGGTGTTTGTTTAGCATGTTTCTTAATCAAGCCATGGAAAATGTTGGATACATAGTCAAATGGTACAAAGAAGTACTTGGAAATGAGGAATTTATAGGTTATTCAAATACCTCAGACATTATCACCCAACGAACTGATCCCATTCCAATAGAGAATGATGCTATATAAATCTGGTCCAACTCAAAAAAAAAAAAAATATATTATATATATATCAATTAGATACACAAAAAGATTTATGAAAAATCTGGATCATATAAATATTTTCACAAGGTGAATTGTAAAGGAATTACCATTACTCCAGAAATAGCCAACAATGGGACCCATCCAAGCAATAGATTTTGATCCTGATTCACCAAAAAAAAACATGGAACAAGATCAAATTTTAATGAAATAGGAACAGAACTTTAACATTATTGTGGACACAATTGTACTTTTTGGTGACGTACCTTGAGAAAGAAAGAAATTCCAGTAAGGAAGCAGCCCAAAAATGTCCCAGTTGCAGACACCTTCAATTGCAAAACCATTTTAATTAGCCTTCAAAAGCTTATCTCTTGCTGATTGATTTTATACTAATAGAAAGTGAAATTGCTAATAACAACTACTAATCACTCACCATAAGAAGAGGTCTTCTTCCAGATTTGTCCATTAATATTACTCCAATTAAAGTTACTGGACCCTACATACAATGAATATGATGAGTTTAGGCATAATATTTGACCAATTGATCTTTAGAAGTCAGTGAAAAAATTTGAGAATACCTGAATTAAAGCATAAGCTATTGTTCCAATTTCGCCAGAAGATAGTCCTACCATTTAAATATTACAGTATTTATTAGTGCTACTGTTCGACATCAAAGGGTTGCAGTATAAAGCATTTTGAGTTTTGGAATTACCAGCTGCTACAAAGGTTTCGCTTACATAGAAACCTATTCCATTAATCCCACCAAATTGTTGGAACACCATTAGTCCAACGCCAATCTAAACACAATCAACATGTTGGAAACTGTCGGAGCTGAGCAACCACTTGGAAACAATGATCATAATTTTTTTTAGCATGTAGAGAAAGTTCCTTACAATCACTGATCGTATGTATCTGCTGTCGAACAAATCCAGTATTCTAGCTTTAGGAAGACTTTGAAGAGTCTCAATATAAGCCTGTCAAGAAACAAAAATAGTAAGTTCCACACTTGAGCTGCAAGGAATGTTCAAATAGATGATTTGTTTAGAGAAGTGGTATACTTGGATTTCAGCAGATTCACGCAAAACATCTGCATCTTTGCCACGAAGTCTGCTTAGTGCAATCTCAGATTCTTTTGACTAGGCCTACCTTTGCCTGCAATTTTCAATTTTAGTTTCATTTCTCACCAGTTTTCTCATTCAAAACCATAATTGTGAAAGGTTAATTTTTCCTTCACTCACCCGCCATCTGGGAGACTCTGGAATAAAGAACAGCCCCACAAGCAAGACAATGCACGGAACAAGTCCTTCAATTCAAAGCAATTAGTCAGTTTCTACAAGTCCTTTTTTGGGTGTTAAATGTCACCAAGAATTATAAACTGCAATATTACAATTTACCAGTCAAAGCTAGTGTTCACCACGTTATCATTGTTCCAATCAAGAATGCGACCAATGAGTCACTAACAATCATGAGCTGCAGATCAGAAAGGAGATGTCAATGATCAAATCCTTTGAATCTAAATTACATTAAAATCAAGCAATATGACTCTCCTACCTGATTTATTGTTGTGAGTCCTCCCCGGAGATTCTTTGTTGCTATTTCAGCTATAAATATTGGGATCTGTTCATACAATTAAATCATTATTTTGTTAGATCATTGATAGTGCCAGAAAACATAAATTTCAAGCCTTGTTAAGTTGTTTATAAACAGTTCAGTTGTTAAATATTTACCACACAAGAGAACATGCCAATGCCATAGCCTGTGAAAAATCTTCCCATGTCAAGTGAGAATGTTCCCTATATAAGAATCATGTTACAAAGAAAAATAACCTGGTGATTAAAATTTTAAATTTTTACCAAGTTTTAAAGGAAAAAAAAATGTGCATGGTAGTATATACCATGGAGAATTAGACTGCAAGCCATCCTATGATGCAGGAACCAGCCGACATTCTCATTGCCTGCTTCCATCAACACACCAAGGAAAGTTCAACTATCCGAAATCAGCTGAGCTTAGCTATGAATTTACAAGAATTTTACGCATTACACAGTACCCCTTTTCGACCAAGGAAGTCTGCAATTCGCCCACTTGTTATAGCACCAATCATCGCGCCAATTGTTAGTATGGAACCAAACATGGAGTACTGCAAAGTGATAGAAAATTAGTTCCAATTTGTATGATATAGTGTTGCTCCTAATGGAGGAAAAGAAATTGAAAAAACAGACAAACCTCAGCTAGTGACAAATTCAGGTCTTCCCTTATAGCAGATTGGGTGGGTGCTGAGAAGCCCACCTGCAAAAAAATTAACTTAAGCTAAAGATTTTTTTTTCTTTCTTTTTGCCTTTGTTTTTGTTTTTGCTTTTGTGTTTTGTGTATGGTGCTCCTGACCAAGAAGAAGGAAAAAGAAAAAGAAAAAAAAGAAGAAGAAACCTGTTAATTAAAATTGTTTCTTGAACCAAAAATTTGTTTATACTAAAAATAAAAAAAAAATGGCATCTTGATCCATACTTACACAGGTTCCAAATTCAAAAGAGCCACAGACTGCAACAAATGTACTAAACAAAACCATGCCAATTGAGCCACTTTCATCTCTCTCATTGGCCTCAACATCTTCATACTCTGCAATTTTCTTATGCTCTATGAATGGCTTTTCC